AAAAAGTTTAGAAACCCTAGTTCTAAATGCTCCTTTTTGTGGAAGACAGTATATGTCAAATCCTAGGTTATTTCAGAGCCTTCTCAATAAGATCTGTAATCATAAAAAAGAATTCAACATAACTAATCAGGCAGGAAGAACCAAGTGGATAGAGAAATTCTTCTTGTTTTGATAATAATATGCAGTTAGACAAAGGACAACCTATTGTCTATATAACCTTAGACAAATACCATGAATAGACAATAAACTAAGCCCTGAATGGAATATGATGAAGAAAGCAATTTACATTGCATTTGACAAGTTATATATTACTTAGGAAGATCTTGTTTCTACTCCAATCCAACAACAAGATCTTATTAACACCACTGGTGTCTTCTAGTGCTCCTATATGGCTGCGAATCATGGAATACCACAATCTCTGAGCAATCAAACTTGTCACCCAAAGAACAATGGAGACATGCATGCTAGACACAAATAGATCACATCACATTGCTAATATTCAATTATAGGCAAAAATTAGCGGAAAATACATCGGCAAAGAGACATGAGACCAGAAATATGTTTCCAAATTATACTGTATGTATCTTGTTTGTACGTAGTTGTTTGTACGTTGTATCCCCCATTAGACTGTGAGATGCTTGAGAGTAGGGACTGTGTTGTTTTGTTTCGTTTCATTTCTTTTCTTTGTGTAGTCAGCACCCGGCCCTGTTCCTAGAACACAGAAAAGTACTTGTTGACTTAATTTCAGTTGAGAAGAAGGTGGGCTAGTTAATTTGTGAAAGCAAAGTGTAACAGTTGTACAATCTGATCATTTCATTGTTGCCCTGATAACGTCAAGAGTATTAGTTCACTGGTATTCTTGGGTATATACCTGTGAAGGATTTATGGAAAGACACGGGCAAGACTTTCACAGGATGGGAAGGGACAGATAAGTTGCACTTGTACCAGAGGATGGAGTACTATCACTGATGATACCCTAAGTACATTAAAGTACAGTTATCCCTTCCACATTGTGAAGGTAAGAAGTGCAGTACTCCCATGATCTGGAAAATCCGCATAAAATTTTTGGCCCTCCTTTCATACCAGAGAAGTCTGAATTATCGTGGTATTTAAAGATAAAATATGTTAATATTATATAACACTATACATATATTTTATGCATTTCTGAGTTCCAAATCTTTTTCTGTGTCATCTGCTAGCCTTTGAGCATCATCTGTGACTTCTGCAAAACTCCCCCCCAAATTTCCCATTTAATTTCTTATGCTGATATATCAAAACTGCCTTGGGAAAGTCACTATGTGAAAGGGATAACTGTATTGAAGAAATATTCATGACCCAGAACGTGCCCTACATATATCCCTCCTGAATGAAAGATCTTTAAGCACTAGACTTGGAATCCAAAGACCTAATTTAAAATCTCAGCTCTACCAATTCCTGTTGTGGCCTTTGGGTAAGTACACTAATTTCTCTGTGCCTCAGTTTCTTCATCTGTAAAATGAAGGGAATTGAACTAGAAGACCGCTAAGATGTCTTCCAGCTCAAAATCTATGATCAGACCATGACCTAGGACTATAGCTATATTATTTCCAGTGAAATAAACTCTTATGGTGTCTAAATTCAACTGTCTGTGATGGATTTCCACTGATTCCATCTTATGAGGCAAAAAGTTACAACAGGCAGCTAGCTCCAACAAGTGATAGACAATCTTTCAAGGAATTAGAGTCACGTTGATTGATTTATAATTTAATCTGCTTCAAAAAATCCTTATTACTTCTTACCACCATATTAAGATCTTGTCTTTTTGCCATCAGCCCTATCCAGAGACTAGTAAAAATTTCAGAGATGCAAATCAAATGAATGGGGGCATTGGCTTCAGCAGATTTCTGGGTTCACAATGACTTTGGGAAAAGTCATGAAATTCTGCCCTTTGAGGGCAAATCAAAAATGAGAGACATGATCCTAAGGAGAAAGGAGAATGATAGAAATAAGGACAAAATAAGAGCAGCTAGGTGGTACAATTGTTAGAGTGCTAGGCGTGGAGTCAGGAAGATCTGAGTTCAAACCTGGCCTCAGACACTTACTAGCTGTGTGATCCTGGGCAAGTCACTTAGCTCTGTCTGCCTCAGTTTTCTCCTCTGCAAAATGAACTGGAGAGGGAAATGGCAAACCACTCCAATATCTTTGCCAAGAAAACCCCAAATGGGGTCATGAAGAGTTGGACGTGGCTAAAAAAAACATCTGAGTAAAAAGAGCCAAGATAACATTCTAGTTGTGGTTCCCTTTGACCCAGCAATACCACTACTAGGTCTGTATACCAAAGAGGTCCTCCCAAAAAGGATGTGTGTGTGTGTGTGTGTGTGTGTATTATATATATATATATATAATATATATATATATAATAATATATATATATACATATATTTATACAATATATATATATATATATACATATATATATACATATATATATCATATATAATATATAATATATATATACATATATATATACATATACATATATATATACATATATATATACATATATATATGTATATATATTTATTTATTTATTCATTTATTCATTTATTTATAGCTGCTCCTTTTGTTGTGATAAAGGATTGGAAATTAAAGGAATGCCCATTAATTGGGGAATGGATAAACAATTGTGGTACATGATTGTAATAGAATATTATTGTGCTATAAGAAATGACAAGCAGGATACTCTCAGAGAAACTTGGAAAGATTTACATGAACTGCTGCAAAGTGAAGTGAGCAGAATGAGGAGAACATTGTACACAGCAGTGGCAATATTGTATGATGATCAATTGTGAATGACTTAGCTATTCTCGGCAATACAATGATCCAAGACAATTTGAAAGGACTCATGATGACAAATGCTGGATAGCTCCAGAGAAAGGACTGATGGAGTCTAAATGCAGATTGAAGCATGGTTTTTTTCATTTTCTTAATTTTTTTGGGGGGGGGAATCTGTGTTTTCTTTCACAACATGATGTGTGTTTTGCATGATTGTGCATGTATAAGCCCATATCAAATTACTTACTGTCTCAGGGAGTGGGGAGGGGAAGGAGGGAAGGAGAGAATTTGGAACTCAAAATATTAAAAAATGAATGTTAAGGATTTTTTTTACATGCAATTGGGAAAAATATTATCAAAAAATTGAAAAGCCCTTTATATATGTACACATGCAAACACACACACACACACACACACACACACACACACACGCACACAAATATAGTAAGGAAAGCAAGTTCCTGGGGGAAAGAGACTGTATTTTTGCCTGTATTTGTAACTCCAGCTTTTGGCCCACGGCACAGAGTAAACTCTTAATAAATGCTTGTTGGCACCTCTTAGAAAGGATGAGGAGTTAATTCTTCTTTTGACCAAGCTAAGAGGTGATTAATAGCTCAACTTGCCTTGCTTGACAGTGACCTCCATTTGGGTTGTGCTACATTCTTTCTTCTCTATCTCCCCCTGAAAAAAAAATTATTTATATGTATATATATATTTTCTAGGCATTTCCTCTTCCATCTAAATTCAGCCTTACTTCTCTTTCCTATATGATGGACCACAAAAACATGAGATTCTACAATGACTTGTTTATTGCTTATTTTTTTAAATTAATGATTAAAACTGGTACAATAATTAACTCTCTATGTAAGTGTGGGCATAATAGCAAAAAAGCAATTACAAAAATATTTTCCTTCTATTTATTCAAATATCCTTATAGTTTTCTTTATGTTGTCTGGGTCTCTGAGAAACAGAGCATAAAAATCTATCAGAGTGTTAGTGATTGTTCAGAAAGAAAGCATCTCCCTTCCTTCCAGGATAATGTTCCAGTATCACAGCATTCTGGAGTTGGTGCAAGTTTCCCAAGATATTACCATGCCTGCCAAGATTCACTCTCTTGGCACTTCCAATGGCGCAAGTACCACCATATCTTTTCTAGGCCTAGGTATTATTGTAGCAAAATATGCGGACTGTTTTTTTTTAACTTGCCAAATAAGCAGAATTGCATTTTGAGTACAAGGCAGCATGGAACTGGAGGACCTGCATTCAAATCCCATTCAAATCCCTGCCCTACCTGTTTGACTTTGGACAAACTACCTAACCTTTCTGGGCTTCTGTTTCCTCTTCTATAAATGAGTGATTTGGACTAAAAGGGACTAAATGGAAGAGAGGTGCTTTGCCTCTAAAAAAGACATGTCATAATTTTCTATTGTTCAGGGTATCTTGAAATTCTTTTGAATACCTTGATTGTAAAGAGAAAGAGGGTAATTAGAAGAGAGATTTGGAGAGTTAGGATTAAGAAAGAGATTTGGAGAAACTATAGAAATTATGTTCTTAATTCAGAAAGAATCTTAGCCAGAGAGAAGACAGAAGAGGTAGTACCAGAAATAAAAGGAGAATGTGTAAATGGAAGCCATCCTCAAATTTATATAACTAAAGGCTGACTGAAGCTAACTACAAAATGTTTTATGAGGTATGTTTAGTGAAAAATGCTGGTTTGGGTCTGTAATGTCATTAATATAGACAATTCTTGATGTGGAAACTCCTTCTGACTGTGTAAGTCAGCAACTGGCTTGTTATTTATAGCCTGAGAGTAACCAAGGTTAAGTGCCATGCCCAATGGTCATGCAGACAATATGTATTAGAGACCTAAATTGAACTGTGGTCTTCTTAATGATCAGGTTAGACTTCTAACTGACTTTACCACACTACTTTTTTTTTTGAGGCAATTGGAGTTAAGTGACTTGCCCAAGGGCACACAGCTAGTAAGTGTCAAGTATCTGAGGTCGGATCTGAACTCTGGTTCTCCTGACTCCAAGACCAGAGCTCTATCCACTGTGCCACCTAGCTGCCCCGCATGTTACTTCTTCATAAAGAAATTACATCTTTACAGCTGGGAAGAGCTGGTGGCAAAGAGCCCAACATACCAATTGCCCTTCATTCTCTATCTTCTTCCAATTCTTTTACAGCATTTAACATCCTGGTCAACGTTGGAGTTGTGCTGACATACCCAATCCTCATCTCCATCGGCACTGTGCTCAGTGTTCCCGGGAATGCAGGTACCTGTACCTTTTGATGTTTTGTTAGTTTTTACAAGGACAACAAGTACTTCTTTTGTACCTTGAGATGTTTCCAATGGGGGATTATGTGCCTCCCACCAGGAGATGTTTTTAAGTATTCTGGAAGTGACAGACAACAGAGTTACTAAATAGCAGGCCTAATTTTTATAGCTACAATCTGTTTTATGCCATCTTGCTTTTGAAATTAAATATCAAACGTATTCTTTTTGCTGCATATAATCTCCATGACAAACAAAAAGGGTGGCATTTATAGTATACCATCCTGTTGGAACAAAATTTACCAAAGCAAACAAGTGCAAAAAAAATAAATAAACATCTGTGGTTCCCCTTCACTCTGCCAATGGAAGAAAACAGTGTCTGTGAATGGCTTATCACCCAGCCTAGCTACAGATGGACATTCATTCATTCAATAAGCAATTTTATTGAGCATCTATTATACACACGACATTGTGCCAGGCCCTGGGGGAGATATAAAGATGGAGAAAATAGGGATCCAACCCTTAAGAGACTTAAAGGCTAAAAGAGGAAATGACGTGTACAAATAAACATAATAACAAGCAGAAAGTAGAAAGCGCATAACAGAGGTACTAATAAAGTGCAATGGGGATACAGAGAAAGAACTCACATAATGAAGAAAGGCTTCAGGAAAGTTGTATTTGAGCTGAACGTTGAAGAAAGTATGAGATTTAGACAGGAAGATGGGAGCGGTGGGGCGATTTTAGACATGGAGAACGACGTTAGAAAACATGAGCTCTGTCTAGACGTGTGGGGGTGAAGGGTGAGGAAAGAACCAGTTTTAGGGATGCCAGAAGACCTGGGAAAGGAAATATCCCAGACTTTAATGATTCACTTTCAAAGCGGTTTAAGAAACACATGCTTGGTTTTTCTCTCCTACAGCTGTGGATCTCCTGAAACAGGAGGTGATATTCAATGTTGTCCGGCTGGCTGCCACCATTATCATTTGCCTCGGGTTCCTACTGATGTTGTTGCCTGAAGAGTGGGATGAAATCACTCTGAGATTCATCAATAACCTGAAAGAAAAGAAAAGCGAAGAGCGTGTAGACGACACGACTGAGTCCAGTGTACATTTAAGAAGCAGGAGCAGAGCTAATGGCACAGTGTCTATACCCCTCGCTTAAAAAAGCGACCAACTTCTGAATGCACGCGGATGTATATTCTGTGAATATAATTTTCTCACTACTTGTATGCTCAAATGACAGTATTAACCTTGAATCGGAATGAATCACAAGTGAAGTGACATTAACAATAAAAGTTTACGTTTATACACTTAGCAAGTTACAAGTGTAAATAACCATGGTTTTTTTTTATTAAAACATTTTCATCCTTGTTCTTTTTCTTCTTTTTTTCCCCCTTTATTTTAGTCATGAAATTCTTTAAAAGTGTAAGAGTCCAGCTTCAATTCATACCTCATTTAAATATTGAAGCAGTATGACCACTCTGATCTCATTTCTCATTAATAGAAGCTCCATACATGGCAAGTTGGGAAGTAGAATCTATTGACTTTGTAAATTTCTTCTAGTCTTCATTTGAACGTCATTGTCCCTAGCAGTTTGAGAGAGCACTGATTTGGACACTCGAGATTATTTTTTAATTAATTAATTTTTAGTTTTCAACAATCACTTCCATAAACTTTGGAGTTTTTAATTTTCTTCCTCCTCCCTCCCCACTTCCTTCCCTAAGATGGTGTGCAATCTGATATAGGCTCTACATATACATTCCTTTTAAACATATTTTCACATTAGTCATGTTGTAAAGAAGAATTAGAGCTAATAGGAGGAACCACAAGAAAGAAGAAACAAAACAAAACAGAAGGAAAAAAAAGCAAATAGTATGCTTCGATCTGCATTCAAACTCCATAGTTCTTTCTCTGGATGTAGATAGCATTTTCCATCGTGTGGACACTTAAGATTTTTAAATGGAAGTGACATGATCTAGGGGTTTTGTCTCAGTTGTTATTAGATCAGCTGGAATCATAGAACCTTAGATTTGAGAGGGACCCCCAAGGTCATCTAGACCTTCACACTCCCTATTTTGAAGTAATCCCCATTATAAAATCCTTGTCAAATAGTCATTTAGTCTCGGTGGGAATACCTCTAGTGAGATGGAATTAGGAAGCCCATTTCATACTTATATTAGAATAAAATTGTCCTCCCCTGACATTTCTATACACGAGTCTAGTTCTGTGTACTGAGACTACAGAATAAATCTAACATCCCTTACGTATGACAGCCTGATTAGGGCAAGTTTCTTGAAGAAAATGGAGCTGGGTCCTGATTTGGGGAGGATTTGGTTCCCCTCTGCTGCCTTAGAGAACTTTTATTCCTCATTCCCTACATAAATTTGGCTTTCGTCCTAAGAGCTTTTCATTCACTGAAATAATTCAGAACACTTTCGTCTTCTCCTTTAATTCATTCAATTAAACAAACATTGATTAAGTGCCTACTACATGTATCAAACTGTCCTGGGCAGTTGAAGTTGCAGACAAAAATGAAAACAATCTTTGTCCTCGATAAACTTTTATGTTAAGCAAATGGATTCACCTAACATAAACAAATAGTTAACGACAGGAAGATAAGCATAGCTCAATTCAGTGGGTTGCTGAAAATTTCTCTTTTTTCATTTTAATGTATTTTATTGAAGCTTTTTTTTTTCTTACTCATTTTGGGACTTCTTGGATCTCAAGGGGAGGCCTCTGTGACTACATATGAAGAATCCCAATAAACTCTTTGTCACTCCTGGGTTTTTATTTGGTGGGAGGGGTCTGTGGGATGTGTGTGTGTGTGTGTGTGTGTGTGTCCTAAGAAGTCACTTTTAAACCAGTCTATCTACTCTCTTATGTGTTTCCCTAGCCCCTATTAAGATTATAGGATTAAAGATTTAAAGCTAGAAGGGGACTTGATGGTCATTGAATCCAATTTCTTCGTTTACACATGAGGAAACTGAGGCCCAGAGAGGTTAAGTGATTTGGCCAGGGTCAGACAGGAACTCCCTGAAGTGGTATTTGAATACAGATCTTCCTGACTCTGGGTCAAGTGTTACCCTACAGTCCAGGAGTGGGGAACCTGCAGTCTTGATGCCACATGTGGCCTCTGAATTCAGTCAAAGGGCTGCACTTGAGGACCTAGAGGGCCACATGCGACCTGGAGGCCTCAGGTTTCCCACCCCTGCCCATAATCCCTCCCAACACTGAGACCAAGAAAGAGTAAAACTTACTTAGAGTCACATAGCTAGTAAGTGTTGGAGGCAGAATTTGAACCTCAATCTTTCTGACTCCAAGTTTAGTCTATCCATTAAACTAAGATCTGCTCAGATGTGAGCAATCAATCAGTAATAATTTTTGTTCTGTTGTTTCAATCGTGTCCAGCTCTTCATGACTCCATTTGCAGTTCTCTGCAGAATACTGGAGTGGTTTGCCATGTCCTTCCCTAGCTCATTTTACAGATGAGGAAACTGAGGCAAACAGGCTTGAGTGACTTGCCCACTTGCCCACAGTCACATAGCTAGACAGTATCTGAGGCCAGACTTGACCTTGGGAAGACAATTCTTCCTGCCTCCAGGCCCTGCACTTCATCTACTGTGCTACCTAGTTGCCCAATTAGCACTAGTTTAATGGACCAAAGGTTATTAAATCCAGTCTCTTTAAGAATCACTATACACAATCAACAGCCATACAAAGACCACCATACAAAGACCGCTGTAAAATATTTTAAAACTGCTTCCTAATTCTTTTGTTGGATTTGACCCTTTGAGTCCCTAGTCGCAAGTGTTAGGGCCTAAAAGTCTTCAGCAACTAACTCGAAGTAATTCCTGTGCAATTCTTTCCCCACCAAAACAAAAAAAAAAGTCATTAAATGGAAGTAGGAAAAAAATTTTTGTGATGTTAACTCTATTGAACTGTTCTCATTCTGGGGCAGATGATCTCACAGCTAGGTTTGGGGGGTTGCCAGTTTCTGTTGACAGCTTCTTACTGAAGTGCTGATATATTTCCTCTATCAGTAAAGGATTCCTAGGTCTCCTGGTCATTCTGAGTATATCCTGAGGAACTAGCTGAAATTTATGAAAAATAGGCAAACATTTGGGGGGTGGGGCTTCTTTTGAGGGTCTTTTACTAAAAGGGTTGCTATCACTGTAGATGATGAAACAGCCAATAACATTTTTTCCACCTATAATCTATGTGATAGTGAGGAAACTACTTTGCTTTCTGGATTTTCTCATCTCGTTTAAAAAAATGCAATATGAATATCCTTAATTAGAGAGAGAATGTAAAGATAAATGAGATAATGAATGTGAAGTGCTTTGAGAAATCTTATAAGAAAGGTCCTAAATAAAGACATTATTAGTAAATATTAATCAATTCATTATAGAAAAAGATTTTGTTCAGACATTAAGAATACACTCAAGAGCTTTTGCATATTGTTATAAACATTGCTGTCTCTTGCATTTAAATGACTGCTAAATCAAAGTGCTCATGTGGTGATAATAGTGACTGAATGAAGATTGTCATTACCAACACGACATTTAAAATTGCATATTGGCTTCTTTAAGAACCAAGTTGCTTTTTCCCCTAATGATGCTTCATTTTGAGAAATGGAGCCTGCTGCCTTTATGAGCACTAATTCAAAAGTTCCTGTGATTAATTTAATGCAATTAGCAGTTTATTTTAAGAAAATCCTCCAATTATGGTACCTGTTCAACAAACATTTATTTAATGTTGTGTAAAGCACTGTACAAGGCACTGTTAATATAAGATCACCATTATGATAGCAATAATAACTCACATAGACATAGTACTTTAAAAATAGTCCTTGTCCTCAATGAGCTTACAATCTAGTGGTAAGAAATTACTCCCCACTACTAAAAACTAGTGCAGCTAGGTGAGAGTGCTGGGCCTCGAGTCAGGAAGACCTGAGTTCAAATCTGACCTCAGACACCTACTGACTGTGTGACCCTGTGATTTGTGTGGAATAAAAGCAGTCATTCTATCAAAGCCTTATTCTGGTGGATAATTCAAGAGAGAAGAGTTGATGGCATACAGTTGATATTTTCTTTTTTTTGGTTTGCCCTGAAATGTGACATAATGTCTTCTCATGGGTCTCCAAAATCCAGAGCTTTTATACCTAATGAGAATTACCAAGACTGTCCTTTTGTTCATGTATTTCACACCAGTATATTCTAAACTTACAGACTAATGTTAAGAGGAAAATTTTACCTGAATTAATCTGAGAATATGCAGTTGGATGAGAAGCCCACTGAGGAAACCCATCAGGCCCTGCAGAGGGACAATCAACCAACTGGGTCTGAAACTGAATAGAAAATGTAACTCAATCACATTTGCAAAATTGTTCAGTGCTTTCAATAGTCCCTGGCTGTTCCCTACTGCAAAAGCCCATCTTTTTAAAACCAATATTCCCTTGGTGATTCTGTATGGCTATAATTCACAGAACAGCATGGTCTTTGAAGAATGAGAATTGCAGGTAACCCAAAGGGCAAAAGAAAGACTCATGATGGGTGTAAGCACACTGTAGCATATTAGCAATTACTTGTGTCCACTGTGTCCCACTGTCTCCATCAAGAAATAATATTCTTAGGAATAGATTCTGGAAAGGGAAATGAATAATAAAGAGGGTAGAATGAAAACACCTTCTTGAAAAGGGACATTTCAAATGAATGTGATTGAAACAAGAATGGATGAGGTCTGGGCTGAGACAGGGAGGCTTAGGCATCTGGCTGTTATCTAAAGAGGGGAAGGAAAAGGAAAAACAAGGAGAAAGACAGATACACAGGGAGGTAGACTGACAGAGAAAGAGAGACAGAGACTGAGACAGAAGGACAGAAACAGAGAGAGAATAAGAGAATATTAATTGTGATTGGAGAGATTAATTGGAGGGAGCTAGAGGGAAGAAGATGGGAATCAGATTAGATTGGTGTAAACAAAACAAACTTCAGAACCTAAATACTGATTTAAAAGAGGATATGTGTGATTACATGTGTGTGTGTGTGTGTGTATTATATACATATACATATATGTGTGTATATGTGAAGAGGTTGTGTATGTATATACATTGTGTGTATACTCATGTATTATGTAGAAGAAGAAAACAAAAACTTAACAATTATAACTTTGAATGTGAATAGACTAAATTCCACAATAAAAATAAAGACAATGGAAGAATGGATTTAAAAATAAAATAAAACTCAAGCACTTGATGCAACAAGAAACATATTTAAGACAGACAGAATGAAAATTAGAGGATGGAATGAAATTTATTATTCTACAGACAATTCT